TTTGAGAGTGTTTGTGTGCGTTTGCAGGAAGCCGACGGATCGTGGACGTGATGGATGTGAACACACAGAGGGGTGTTGAAATGAGCATGTCTCAGTTTGTGAGGTACTATGAGACACCAGAGGCGCAGCGCGAAAAGCTCTACAACGTCATCAGCCTGGAGTTCAGCCACACGAAGCTGGAGAACATTGTCAAGCGACCCAACGTGGTAAGGGATCCTGTGTTCATTTTCAGCTTCTTCCCAGTCACCTGGTAAGAAATAAAACATGGAGTTTAAACAAGGTGGTGCGAAGTACCTGCGACTCCTCTCCATTTAGTGCCAGGAATCTCGTTTTTACTCAAGTAGAAAGCTGATTTCCTTGACAGTGGACAATATAAACACCACACTTATGCCTGAACAGATCAAAAAGAGATGGCAGCTCTAAGTGCTGATTTATAGAAGTAGTTCTGAAGTAGACTTTTGTGTTCTGTTATGAACACAGCACAAATTGAATATTAGGGACATATTTAGAAGTTTTTGCAGGTTTTGCTGTCCTTCAGACACTAGCAGGTAGTTTGGAAGTGCTCTGGGGAGTTTCTGTTGTTCAGTTGGTCCCCATTTTCCCAAGCACATCATGCTCGGTGAGCTTTTAAAACATCTGTGCAAATTTCCTGGGTGCTCAGGACTGAAAAATGCAATTAGGTATCTGTTACACATGTAAACGAATACTTGATATCTGTTTAATATGGCCTGAGTGCACAGTTGCTTGTAATACCAGGAGTATTTAGAAAGAGAGAGAGATGTCCATTCCCATCAGGTATGTGGGAACAGAGGGGAAGGTGCTGGGGGCTCAGAGGAAGCCCAGCGCGTGAACTCAGATCATAGTTGGGATGCTGTGCTTGTGTCAGTGGATCCCTTGCACTCTGCAGAGCGCTCTGAGTGCACGTGTAGCACACATACTTGATTCACAGTCCCTGTTGTTTGAAGACTGTAGGCTGCAGTATTAGCAGGTGGGGATTATTGCAGAGTCAGGGCAGTACCCATCAATTTTGTTTTCACATACAACTCTGATATTTATGGAATTGGGCCTATTTCTACTGCCTGCACCACCTCCCTTTGCCTCCTCTCAAAGTGCCTGCTGCAGATGGAGAAGCAGATAGGGGTCAGCCCCAGCCTGCATGAATGTCATGTGCAAATTGCCCCCTGATGAAAGTCCTCTGGGGACCCAAGCAGCTGAGCTGACTCATATGAATCACATTCTTGGGTGGGCCTTTAAAGAGATTTAGCAGTCAGGAGGCTAAGTGGGGTGCTAACAGTGCCTGAATTGAGCTTCTCCTGTTCTCGCTGCACACAGCCAGGGGCAGCTTTGTCACCAGCGCCAGGACACGTCTTGCAGTCTGTACTGACCCGTAAGTGGAGGTCTGTTCACACATCACGATGATTTTGAGCTGCCGGGATGCACAGCCACACTGTGGCCAAACGCAGCACTACAGCCTGCCTTGAGCTGCCCAGGCTTGCTGGTGTTTCCCGTTCTGAAACCCGGTGCATGTGATCCTTGCATAACCAGGCGGGAGTGTTCTGGATATCCACCACAGCTCCATCACTAAACAGCCCAGAGTGAGTCACGGGCCTGTCCGTGCGTGGCTGCGATGGACAGATCCCAGTTCGTGCTCTGGCACCAATGTCCTTGGACGATCTTCGGTTTCCATCCCATCCTCACCTTGCTGGCAGTGCGTTTCCAGTCACTTGGCGTTTGCTCTTTTCTCCTGCCCACGCTTCCCAAAACTTTGGCTTTTGCACAGGAACTTTGGTGGATTTTAAATCCAAGTAGAATGATGAAGGAAGTACAAAGTAGGCGATAATGTAATTGCTCAAATTAGAATTTGGCCAGAACAATGGTGTTAATGTTCCTTGAAATGTAAGGTGCTGGAATAATATAATCTCATTTATGTTTGTGTTTTAGTGTTCATCAATGCAGCTTCTAGGCTACTGGCTACAGAAATGTATTTGAATACAGGCAGCAGGTGATGCTGCAAGAGAAGGTGCTCACAGGTGCCCAGAGGTCAGAATTTGCACCCAGTGAAATAGATTGCAAAACTCCCCTTGCTCTGGGCTGCCAGGGGCTGAGTTTTAAGAAGTGCTGCACCTTCACAAGTGGGGTCTGGGGGCTTTAGCTGACCAGCAGGGTTCTTGCTGTCCTGAGTGCCTGCTGTTGTCCTTGTTAGAGCTGTAGCCAACAGGAGCACATCCTGCCTTTGTCCGGTGATTAACAGTTCCTTTTGGTGGGGCTTTCAGGTGGACTTGGTTGACTGGGTGGATAATATGTGGCCACAGCATTTGAAGGAGAGGCAGACGGATGCTACCAATGCTATTTCAGAGATGAAATACCCCAAAGTGAAAAAGTAAGTTTGTTTGTTTAAGTCTTTAAAAAGCTCTCTTCTTGTCCTCCTTGATGAATTCCTTTTGAACTCCAGAGCTGGTAGGAGAGGAAATAATGATGTATTTATTTTTCAGTGAGCAGAGGGGGGGGTTAGCGTGGCTGACCTGCATGAGCTGTGTAATGCCCACCCGTGGACTGTACCAGGTTTTAAGAACAACTTTGTATTTGAGAACTTTATGGATCCTTTGTGTTCTTAAAACTTGGAGTTAGAATCCTTAAGAGAGGAATATTCTGTTCTAAATATTAATTTTAAAAGTTCTCAACACATTTTATTATAAATATTTTTAAATTGAGAAATAATCTACAGTTTGCTGAATGCAGTCTTTAATCAAATCCTTTTGAAAAGTGCATTTTTATTTTTCAGTTTTGAGCACCTCTATTTTGAAAATGGCAGACTGACCTTTAATAGTAAATTTTCCTGAGGTGCTCCCCAAAGCAATCACTCCTTAGGATACAGACATGTCACACAGTTCACACAGCATGGCTGGCTTCAGATCCGTCCCGGGTTCTGAACTGCTCATGGCTGAAGAAAAGTCCACTTTCAATAGGTGTGTGTCTCTGAAAACAATTTACTTTCCTATTGGCTTTTTCAACAGCAAGATCAAATATTGGACTCACCACAGAGGCTGCGTTTCTTGTTTCAGTGGATGCACTCAGGGCAGGTCTGAGACAACACCAGAGTGGTTTGCCCTGCTTTTGCCTATCTCAGCTCTAGTTTTTGGGCAAGTCGTGACAGTATAACTTCACCTCACTTGTTCTTCTGTTTGAATGCCTTCCTAGAAACTGTTTTTATGTGATGACTGGAAAAAGAAACTAATCTGGGGGCTTGAAAATGTGCACTGTGAGTTTCATAGGAATTAGCCCAACTGAAATGGGGTCAGTGTTAATGATGTGATGGGACTGACCAGTGTGGCTGATGAACACCACACCATCCTGGATCGACCTGTGTGGGTGATGAACACCACACCATCCTGGGAGCCTTCACTGCTGTTCCTGTCTTAGAGGCACTTTCTATCAGCCAGACCTAATGCTGGCAGCATCCCAGGCTCTGCTGCCAAACTGACCTCTGGCGTTGTGCAGATCGCTCAGAACCATTTCCAAACTGTAGTGTCTGAAGTAGATTGGTACTACCATATCCAAGAGTGTGCACTCAGAAAGTGATAAGCAGCATTCTGTGAAAAGAAACATTTTTGGAAGGTAAAGGTCTCCTTAACAGAAGATGGCAGGCATCGTAGGGATGCCTGGTTCTACAATATGCTCAGCACCATTGATTTTGGTGGAAGCTAAATATACTCTGTCCTTCTGAACAAAGTAAGCTGCTTGTTAGGGTAACTAGATATGGACAGGAGTGCCAAATTTCACATATGCATTTGGAAATGCCCTAAGCGACTTACCTAAGGTCACACAATAACCAGTGACAAGGCAGAAAATAGAACCCAGACAACTTGCTTCCCAAGTGGTTAGTCTACTAATAAGATTTTTTAATAATATGCTAGAGCTGAGAAACTGGATTATGATCTAGGGCTTTGGGACTCATGGATTGTACAAGGTAAGAAGTAGAGAAAGCAGTCCCTTTCTTAGAGCAGGCACACTCCAGATGCTGAAAATAATGTGGCAAGTAAACAAAGCAAGGCAGAGGTGGTTTAAAGGATAAGGTAGCAACATGACTAACAGAATTCAGCAGAAAAAGCAGAGTATATTCTTGCAGTTCACTACTTGCATCATGAAATGCCAGATGGTAGGTTTCAAAGAGGGATTTTAGAGAAGTAGCAATTCAACAGATTTTGACATGGAGCTTTTCCCATGTGTGGGGGTTGGCCTGGTAGGAAGGAAGGAGATGCCTGCTGAAGCAGCAGACACAAAGCCATTGAGGTTGCTGTCGCTGGCAAAGTGAAGCTGGAGGTTGACAGCTTGATAAACTGGTCCATGTGATAGGTAGAGGGAAGCTCAACAGTGAAAGACTGCAGGCACTTGAAATGTGACAATAGAGCTTGATGTGGGGAAAAGGCATTAGCACGTGTGAGAGGGAAGGGCAAGGGTGATGAGGGTGAGGGTGGTGCTAGTGAGCATCATCTGGCACAAAGACTAGAGAAAGCTGATTTACAGCAGTGTTGGCACAAACCCCTCATCAGTCTGCAGAGGCAACATAAAAGCAGTAACAAATGTTGACAGTCTAGGAGCACAGGAGAAGTTGTGCTGGATCAGGACAAGGATCCATGGTGCTCAGTAACCTGGCTGAGGTTGGCTGCTGTCAGAGGTGCCCTGGGAGAAGTGCAAGAACAGCGCGAGCATGAAATGATGCCACCCCTTGGAAGTCTTCTGAACTTGCACTGTCTGCAGTTCAGGCAGGGGCTATCCAGAGGTGGAAGTGGTTTCTGTGTGTTTAGTGAGATTTCTCTTCCATGAACTTGTCCAGTTTAAATATGAACTTCTCAAGAGATCAGCTTTCTCCATCTTTGGAAATTCAGATTAACCCTTTCCTGTATAGACACTGGTCCCAGCTATCGCTGTGAGCACCCAGAGGGTATGAGCCTCTGTTAAAGAGATTGTGGTCAGTTGTGGACCTAAATGTCAGTGCTGTCACTTGTTTCATGCTGCTCGTTCTTTTATGTGAATTGTCAATATTCATGTTCTTTATTAATGACTGTTGTTGCTCAGAAATGGGATGGCTTCATTTCATTCTTGTTCTTAGCATTCTCATAATACGAAGAGTTTGCAGTATGCGATGCCCACCATTAGCGTGTTCCCTACAAACAAAAAGCACTCCAGCGAAAGCATTGCGGTTTTGCAGACACAGATGGCGTTACCAGACACAAATGTCTGTCTTGGCTCCTGCATGTCAAGTTCCGTGCTGGGAGTGGAGTTCGAGAACGCTCCATCTGCTGCGCTGCTTTGGTTACCAGGAGCACCATGCGCGCTGGAGACTGCCCTGCCTTGCAGTTGGACCTGCACCATCAACTTCTTTGAAAAATTGTGGGTAATGAGGTTATTTTTCTGCCTGTAAGTAAATGGCTACTTACCCAATAGGAGCCCTAGAGGACTGAATTAAGTGGGGAAATGGTTTATGTAAAAAATATGTAAAACTTTCCAAGTACGACTTCTTAAGCAGTAAGACAACATAAGAAATGAAGGGGACGGCCAGCTGAGATTGTAGTGTGACAGACTTCAAACTGACAGAAGTTGGCATTGCCCCTGAAAAAGCAATCCCATGCCCATGGTGTCCTACCCTCACTGCTAGAACGCACTGTGGTGCAGCTGCAGAGTAGACTGGACTGGACTGGTCTGGCTGAAAACTGACTCAGAAATAAGAAAAATTGGTCACCTTTCAGGCCATCCAAACTGCCACATGGCTGCATAAATGCTTGAGCCAGGGCAGGAGGAAAAGGCAGGGCTGTAGTACCATCAGCTTCTAGTGCAGGAGCTGCTTGTATCACCTCAGATGTCTGTGCTACTACAAATCCAAAGGGTAGGAAACTGTGACAAAAGGAAGCTGAGCTGGGCTCAGAACTGCTTCCTTTTGTCACGGTGCACCATAACCATTTTCTGGCAGCTCACGACAAGCTCAGATCTAGTTCTCTGTTTAAACTCAACCAGGACTGAAGCAATCTGGATACATTTGAGCCTGAACCAAACAAAAAAATGTATTAACTTGATTTCTCATTTATCAAAATAGATTGCTCTGCTGAAATTATTATCCTCTCTGTTTATTAGATTTTGTGTTCGCAGCCTTGCAAGACTATTTGCAAAGCAGTGGCAGTGAAATAGCAAGTGTGTCAGGGCATGGTGGCTGTAGAAATAGTAACAGGCACTTCTAACAACTTGACAAAGTTTGTGCTATGGAAAACATTAAAAGGAAAGTCTCAGTCACTACAACACCCTTTGCCTTCAAAGTTTTTCCAACTACTTAAACTATCTGAGCACTTCTATAATAGGTCTTTATGTTGCTGTTTTTCTTCAATTAGGGATGAGATATCTCGTATGCAACATCTACCTGTTCACAAAAGGATGCTGCTCTGTTATCAGGTACTCAGCCCTATTTTCCCTCTCCTAGGCTGTTCATCCATTCCTTTCTATTCATTCCTTTACTACATAGGGATGGATTTAAACAGATGTTAAAATGCTCTGCGGAGTTGTGGTCTAATTAGAAGCTGAGGAGCTTCCAGCTGCCTCTGGAGGCATAGATTGCCCTTTGAATTGAGGGAGCTCACAGGTCCCACAACGCAACCTGGGGCTGTTTTATGCATGTGAGGTACTCATATGCACTTTGTATGCCATTTATGAATTGCTTTTGATACAAAACTGCTCTATAAATATACTTAAGTACAAGAAAATTAGACCAATAAGCACAAGTTCTCATTAAAACTTTCCAAGCTAGCAAAGTAAATGAAATTTAATGTCTGCAAGTCAGTGTGTTGGTCTCAAATCCTCCTTTTTGTAGAGCTTGGAGGTCTAGCAGCATCACACGTGTAACTGAAATAAGCACTGGCATTTAGAGTTGTTTGTGGTAAGCCTGGAGCCAAACAGCCAACTCAGAAGAACGGAGAAGCAACTTGTGTTCTCACTGATACCAAAATGCTGTTCCAGGGGCAGACAGGCCTAGCTCACTGTGAATTGCCAGCTTGGTTCATTTCCCTGTGGTGTTTTTTCACAGAAATTGAAGGTTCCAATTAAAAAAACAACAACGAAACCCACAAAACCAAGGGGCTTCTCATTCTTGAAGTTCAAAGGGAACCTTCCCAGCTCTAGCTGAATGTACACCGCAGGACGGAGTTTTGCAGGCAGCCTGAGATGGCAACTGGGTGCAGTTGTGCTGATCTTCTACATGGGCTGTTTGTGCCAAAATCTGTTGGCTGGAAGGTAGTAACACTTTCCCTCTAAGTCCCCATGAGTGGCAGCAGCACACTCAGGTGTGAACCCACTCCGCACACACTGGAGCTTGGTGTTTCACCTTGGGTGGGACGCGGATGAGCCTGGGATGAGTGAAGCGTTGCCATTACTTTGGGTCACAGCATGACAAAATCTCTGGTGAAGACTGAGGCGCATCCCAGAAGACTTGAGTCCTCTTATCTCAGGTGGTGTTTTTGTCTGACTGACTCGGATCATAACCCCCTCAGGGCAGGAATCGGGTCTTTAGTGTGCTTTTGAAGTGCTTGGTGCACTTAATGATTAGTTACTACTGTGTTTTGAGAGGTGGTGCTTTGCTTTTACTTCAGCCTAGAAGCACTGGTTACCGCAGCCGGGCTGCCCCGCTTCTGTGGGGAACGGGCCCGGCGGGTTTGTGCCTGCGGGCAGGCAGTTGGGCTGGTGGTGCAGACCAGGACCCGGGCAAGCCTCCCACCCCGGCCTGGGCTCCGCAGTGCCCGTCAATGGGCAGAGCCGGGCCCGGCGGCCGGAGGTGGGTGCTGCAGGGGCCCTCCCTGAGGAAAAGCGCGGGCTTTTCCCTGAGGGAGGGAGCAGGGGCCCTCCCTGAGGAGAAGTCCTTGGGCCTGAGGCCGATCCCCCCCTGCGGGGAGCCCTGTGGCCGGGGCCGCAGGCAGCGGGGGCTGGGACGGCAGACGGGACGCCCCGTGTCTCCCGGGTGACGATGGTTTCTTTTGTCTTGCGGCGTAATTTGTGCCTTGCAGGGACAGGGCCCCCAGTGTGGGAGCACGGATCGGTGCGGGGCAGGCCGTTAACGTGAGGAGTCGCCCCAAGGTAGCTATTGTTCCCTGCTGCGTCCCTCCTGATGCCGTGAGGCGAGGCCTGGGAGAAAGGGACCCCGGGGTGCCGGGATGCCACCCGGGACCACCTCAGCCTCCCTCGTCCGACGCCTGGGAGCACCTCTCCCGCCTGGAGGAGAGGATGGAGTACGGGAGGGAAGGCACAGAGCGGGGCCTGCTCCTTCTCCCTGGTTTGGCACTTGCAGTTGGCTCATGGGTTTGTGGTATTCGGTTTCAGGCTTAGGGATTTCAACCAGCCGGCGCTGCTCCTGGGAGGAAGGAAGAGTGAGCTATACTTTTCTCATTGGCCCGAACAAAAAACAGAAGCCTCTGCTGGGGTTTGGGAGTGGTTTATGGGCTGAGCTCAGTGGCAGGGGAGCCCTCGCAATGCCAGAGGGAATAGAGCCGTATGGTGCGCTGCGCCTATTGCGGGAGAAAAGGAGCGAAGCTGAGGGTAACGCTGCCTCTGCGTGTGCTCGCGCGTCTCCCCGAGTCCATGTGCATGTACGCTGTGCGCTGTGCCTCTGCGTTCGCCTGCCCGTGTGTGTGTGTGTCTGCGTCCGCATCCCGGCGTGGCTGTCGCTCTCTTTGTTTCTCTGTTTGCTTGCGGGTTTGGAGCTCTGCGTGGCGAGTGCATTGTGGGTTTGCCTGCGAGTGTGGTATCCGTGCTGGCTTACGGAGCCGTGTGTCTGTGTTGTTTCTGTGTTCCCAGCTATCTGGCTTTGCTCAGTGGGTTAGCTTCATTCGTTATCATCCTCCTCTCTGCTTTTTGGGAATCTCTTGTGTTTGTTCGTCCCTGCGAGTTTGCAGGTTACTCCATATTTCTTCGCATCATTTCTCTGACAAATTTCCCCAGATTTTTCGGGGGAAAGTTTCCCTTTCCCCTAACTACAAATCCTTCCTCCAGAAAAACAATGCGTTAACTTGAACAATTTCAGGCTTGTGGAGAGCATAACCCAAACTCCTCAGTGGGGAAGGGAAGCTCCCCCACAGCAGATTACAAGCAGCTGCATGTTTTAAAACCCTCACTGAGGCTGTGCAGGGAGATAAAGTGGAGTGTGCAGGGACTGGATGTGAAAAATACTAAAGTTGGGGCATCTTTTGCATTGCCTGTATTTTCAGGGTGTAACTCTGGTCAGATTGTCTCCTCGTGCCTTGCTTGGGACTGTGCTCCTGTACCCACTGTACCTGCTCTGGCCCAGAGCGCTGTGACCAGAGCACGCAGTGGGATGTAGTTTCCAGATTTCTTCCAACATGGATGCTGTATTAGGGCTGCTTTTTTTTTTTTTTTTAAATTATGGAAAAACCTGAAAAGTTGAGTGGATCCCCAGACTGGCAGCTGCTGGTGCTGAGACACCAGTGGCAGAGACTGGAGCAGAGCCGGGTATGGGATGAGCTGTGCTGGGAGCATGTGACTGCGGTGTGCACTGGGAGAGGAAGCCGTGGAGGTCAATGCAAAGGCATTGTGCCAGGCTCTGGATGGCGGGCGATCGCTTTTTCAGGCTCCTCAGTAGCTGTTGGGGTTGGACAAAAGCAGCCCTGTAAGATTTCACAGCAGAAATTAAATATGGCATGGCTCGTTTGTGGATGGAAAGAAAACCGGGGTTTTTCCCAAATGCTTTGTAGGTTTTTATTAATCACCACATGTGTCTCTTTCACTGAAACCACCTTTATTGGAATGGAAATAGTTGTGTGTAGAGGAGTTTCAAGAAAACAGAGGGGAAAATGGGGAAAAACAAGAAAAACAAAGTTGCGTGTTCACAGTTACCTCTGCCTTGGTGTTTTCTCATAAAGCCACATTTTAAGCGCTTTGATTTGACAGAGAATTCAATTGTGTTAATTCCTCTCTGAATACAAACAGATCGACAGCTTCAAGTTTAGATTATTGACCACGGAGGAATAAATAAAACTGGCGAATGCTTAGGCCATTTGCGCTCTTTCAGAGTTTCTTAATATGGACGGTAATTGTTGGTAGGTAGCGCTGTCTTAGAAGATTTTTGTTAGTGTGATGTGTTTTATGTCTGACCCTCTGGAAACTGGAAATAATTGATTCCATAAGGATTTGAGTTTTTTACATTAAAACAACATGAACCTCTAATAGTCAACACTGCCCACAAACTGAGAATTTCCGTGTTGTTTTTATGTTTTATGAGCAATTACTCAATCTGTGACTTTTTTGCAGTTTGGCTGGAAGAAAGGCGACTTCCTTTCTGGGCTTCTTTTATTGTTTTTAAATTCTATCTGACTTGCAATCAACAACATCTTGGTAGAGAAAACATAAAAGGGAGAAATTAGGAAAAAAAAAAAAGGGTTTGGGAGGGAAGGACTCGTATTTTGAAATGGAGCATATTGAGAGTCTAGACAGCTTCTTGGCTAGCTGGGATTTTTGAAGCATCTGAAATACCCCAGGGGCAGAAAAAGCGCTCTTCCTGCTTCTGAAGGGCAAGGAAAAAATAAGAAAATCCAGAACGGGCAAGCGGAGAGACGCGCAGTTGCAGGAGGAAAGGTTTTAATTGTGAGATGAAGGCGCAGGACCCTTTTTGAAGCCCGCAAATTGACGGTCTTCATGACAGCACTGCGTCTCTGTGTCAGCTGGGCTGGGGACGTGGTTGCCAGGCAACGGGCTCTTATGTACCCACAGCCCTGCCATTCGCAGCCTCTGCAGACACATGGTGAGGTCCTTCCCTAGCATCCACGGGCTGCTGCACGCCATTCCCCACCTGAATGGGAGCAGGAAAGGCACACTGAAATGTAACCTTTTCGCTTTTTTTTCTTTTTTTAATCTTTGTCATTATTTTTACAAGTCCCGTTCTGGTACTGTTTCCGTAACGCCCCTTAAAAAAAAAAAAAAAAAAAGCCATGAAACGGAGACCGGAACAAGGAAAAGAGGTTAGTGGGTTAAGTGGTGTGTGTTTCCTGCGTTTGCAAAGGTGCCTGTAGTGAGAGGGGCGGCTGAAATTCGGCCATTAGTTACAGATGGTGGCTGGAGGCTCACGCAGCGAGATGAGAGCTCTTCTGTCTCTTTCCAGTGATGCCGACTTGAAACTGCTTTGAAAACCTGAATCAAGACGGCATCAGATATAGTGGATTTTGTGCTTAGCGATGCTGCCAGCTGGTTCCTTTATGTGTTTTGATGCAGAAATGCCTAGAAATGTGAACAAAAAGGAGTTAATTTGCCAGATGAGGTTTCTGTCCCCCAATTCTTGCAAAAATGGCATTAGTGGCAAGTAGGTGAAGAACATTCAGGAGGATTTATAAGCAAATTAGGTTTTTCAAAACTTTGCTCTTCAAAGCAATTTGTATACAACTCCTGGTGATGGTTATGTCTGTCAGGCGGTGGAGGAGAGCATTAAACAGAGCACCCCAGGGACTGGCAGTGGCATAAGAAATATTTCTGATCATCATCACTCCTGATGGTTTTCCATTCCTTAACTCCGAAAGCTTTCGTTCCAGTGTGTGAATCGCAAACTCAAACTTGAAGATGCGCGTTCTTCAGCAGAAACAGTTCTAGCTGCTTCGTGAGACAAACCCCAGTACTTGAAATGCAGAAACTTAATTGGTGGAAACAATATTGCACATGCGGTTAACCCCTGCAAATTAAGAATGAGAAATACTGCTTCAGACTGATTCCTTTTTTGTCCTTCACTCTGCTTGCAGGTACTGTTTGATGAGTGTGAAAGGATGCTTCACTGATTTTCACATTGATTTTGGTGGCACTTCAGTGTGGTATCACGTTTTCCGTGGGGGGAAGGTAGGTGAACCTTGCCGTTTGATGTTTGGTTTTATTTCTCTGTACTTCTTATGGAGGGGAAGGGTTGCTTTCTTTTATTTTTCTGTTTGTCTCTCTTGTTTGGGGAAGGGCTGGGATAGTCAGTGGTCAGTCTATTTCAGCCTGCTTTGTTGGTGTACATGGAGTTTGCTGAACCACAAGGACACCATTCACCTTTATGAAACGAACGTGATTTATTTGAAATACGCGTTTTATTTGGTGGTGGTGGTGCTTGTAGGCTTGACATTGCTGCGTGTGTGACTGGCTGTACCGCTGTTGGGTCAGGGTGCCCTCAAGTCTCCTCCTGTAGCTGGAGCTTCTGTGTCCTTTTAGAGTTTCCATGTTTCTTTAGTGTGCACACGCACTCTGTGCCCGAACTGGAGCACACAGAAGGATTGAAATGTACGGCATGTATGGCTGTAGTCACATTTTGACTGTTTTAGGTTGCTTTTCCCAATGGCAGCACAGACAGTGCATGGTAGGCACTGAAATAAATGCAGCACATTGACCGTCTCCGCGGTACAGATACTGCTCATCAGTGTAGTCTGATGAAGTTGTACCCATGCACAGTTTTGAACTGAGAGTAAAGTGTGGGGGCATCTCTGGAGTGAGACGTTTCGTGGCAGAGATGACAGCCAATGGTTGTCTTCCCACTCCAGCACATGGACTAATTGCTGCTGTGTGCCTGTGTACAACACCTGGAAAACACGTGTTTGGTGCAGAAAGCTTGGTGTTACGCCTTCGTTTGTCTAACATGATAACCTTGTTGGAATTCCTCAGCTGTTTATTTTCGTTGACTGTTGGTAATAGTTAATTTTATTTTATTTTTTTAATTTTTAGATCTTCTGGCTGATTCCGCCTACTCTGCAGAATCTAGAGCTTTATGAAGAATGGGTTCTCTCAGGAAAGCAAAGTGATATCTTTCTGGGAGACAGGGTGGAGCGATGCCAAAGAATTGAGCTGAAACAAGGCTATACCTTCTTCATTCCTTCAGGTATCCTTGTTAACTGTTTTTGGAGTCACTGGAGTTGTGTTTGACTAATGGTTCTCTGTAAAACAATTCTTTACATCTAAACTCCATCCTGACCTCTTTATTTGCTGTGGCAAAAGAAAGGCTAGGGCCTGAATTAGTTGAATTTTCCAGACTTGACCTGTCCGGTCTGATGAAAGCTGTACTGTGAGGGAGTGTGTGCAGTGCTCACTTGTGCTGCATTGGGGATAGGAGAGGGCACTTGTGTCTCTGGGGCTGTCAGTCCATTGCTTCTCATCAGTTGTGCTGACTTTTGCTATCATTGGCTTTCTTGGAGATGTATTTTTCTGCTGTTGTGATCCCTTCCAGCAGGTTTCGCCTGCCGTTCAGTAACGCCCTCCTTTGCTGCTGTCTGTAGCCAGAGGTGGGTCTCAGTTCCCAGGTGGAGCTCAGTGGAGGTTGCAGAAGGATGGGAGCTGTGCTCTCTCAGGGCCGCTTCTTGGGGAAACAGCCTTATTTTATTGTCATAACTCTCCAGAGCTTCTGCTGATGGGGATTGTGCTGAATCTGGAGATCTCCCAGGAGTCTGGGCACACTTAATTTTTATACTGCTGCCCACCTCAGTAGCTGTGTCACACAGTTCAAGCTCTTCTTGCAAAGCAACCAAGTAGTTGCTGCTTTGAAGGCAGGTGGCTTCAGCTCTTTCAATTCCTGCTTAAATTGGCTTAAGGATGGTGCAGTCTGTAACAGTTCTCATTTAAGATGATACCTGTCTTTGCTTTCTTTGCCTTTTATGGGACCATAAGTTTGTTTTTAATGGTGTAACACCTTGCTTTTGTCTAGTGGATTTTACTAAGGAAATATATACAGGTAGTCTTTCTGCAGGACAGAAAGACAGGCTGGTAGCATTTCAGCTCTAGAATTACTCTGTGGAGATAGGATTATTACTTTTTAATCCTGGAGACAGAATGCAGGTCATGCAAAGTCAGCAAGGATGTCCTTGCTTACTGGGGAGCATTGTGAGTATCAGTTGACGGCCACAAATTTGCGCATTTGTAAGTAATTGGTAAGAATCAGCCTGGGAGAGGGCGGGCAAAATGGCTTTGAGAGTGGAGGAGTTAATCCATTAAAGGAATTAGGTCTTCCCTTGAAACAGGTCAGGATGTGCTGTTCCTGTTTGAGCTGGGTGTTAGAGGGTGGCTGTGCTGTTTACTTAGATCCCATTACTGCATCCTCGTATTTGTCTTCATTCCCCTGTGAACAGCCTCCTACGAAGGCTTTCTGTGTGTTAGTTTAGTCATGCTCAGCTGCTGGATACAGCAAATTTGGGAGCTTCTGCAGGACACAACTGTAACGTGGTGGCTGAAGTGAAGGGATCCCAAATGTGGGTTTTGACTGAAGTTTCTCTTTTCTTAGGAAAGCCCAAAGCACAGAAATGCCAGTACCTCAGATATTTTAGGCTCCATGCTGTATTTGAAAGGCATACGTGAATAATTTCTCTGTAAACACCTGATGGGTTCAAGGGGTTTTGTACTGCTGTATTATATTTGGGAAAATTATTTGCAAATCTCTTATTTATGTGCAAGGGTGTTGATTCTGTGTTCGTTTTAAGAGTATGGACGTGCCTAATTAAAGGCTGTTCCGGGTCAGCGAATTGAGCGTGGCTGTGTAAAACAGGTCAGTTCCTACGACCTCTTTGCTCTGGTTTGTGTGCATATTGCGTTAGTCACTGTATGGCTGTGTTTTGTATGTACTGTGTAAGTGTTCGTAGTGTTCAGGTTCTGGTAATGGATGCTTGTAAAACCAGTGTGTCCCATACTTTGAATTGAGCCTCAAACTCTTGACCAGCCTCGGCTCATGTGGATTGAAGGAGAAACAACCATGTATTGTCAGTGCAGTGAGCTGTTAGGGGCCACGGTGCATCTTGCTGCTTTTTAGGGGTTCCTCCGAAGGATGGGGTGGGAGGAAGTGAGCTGGCGTTGTGAGGGACACTGTGTGGGGGGCCTTGCGTAGGAGCAAGCTGTGCTCCTGATGGCCACAAAGGGCTTCTCTCCACGAGCGATGCACCGTTACAGGTTCTCACCTCCCACTTCACTGGTTCCCACTAATGAGTCAAGGATGATGAACTCTGGTAGAGTCTGTGGTGAAGTGATAAAATCAACAAGGAACGTGGCCTTTTCCGTTAATCCCATTGTCTGAACTAATGTCAGCATAATTGTTGATTGAGAAATACACCACGCTGGGCCATGCTGAGGTTTATGGCCAGGTGTAGATCCAAGATGTTAAAACAGCTGAAGGTTCAAGAGGGGAGGAAGCTATAGTTGTTACCAGTGTCAGCAAATGATTGGTTTTTCCTGTAGAAACCTGACTCTTGCTTTCCCAGGATGGGAGAGAACTTGTCCTTCTGCAGGAAGACATTAGTAGAGAATGCTATGGCCCTAGGGTGTTACCATGAGCAACGTTTAATCTTTCGTATGGTTAAGTGTTCAACTCTGATGAAATTTGGTCGAGGTAACACATCGCTCTCTGTTCGAGTGGACAGTTTATGCTGCAAATCTGACCCACCTGCAAAGAGAAGGGAAATTTCTTATAAAGTGTATTTCTCTTTTGAGGTATAAACTGGGATGATCTGGAAGAGGAAAATCACAATCTCAGCGCTCAGTTCTTGTTCTCAGTAGGGAAACAACAACGTTTTATCAGTCACAATCAAATCCAGAGCTTGTCCAGTGTTATTTGTGCTGTAGCTTTCTTCTGCACCACGTGTGTGTCCTGTGCTGACCTGCAGAGAGGCTGTGTGAAGTGTTTGGAGCCCATTGCAGTGTGTTACAGGGAAGGAGCTCAGATACCTCTCGTCACTGTGCTAGGGATACGCAGAACCAGCATCTGGGCAGATTTCCACGGCTCAGGATCACCACAGACGTGTTTCTCGTTTGTGTGCAGCCGCTTGTTCTGTTAAGTCCCGATTGCTCCCCTGCAGCCTGTCTGAAATACTGCGCACTACGTTAATGTCAGTGTGTTACCCGTTTTAAAGGATATCTTTAGTGCTTCTCCTTTTATTTTAAATGTTTTGCTCCTTTCCCATCACCACATGACTTCACTGGAACCTGTTCTCTCTCCTCACCTTGCGCTTCACCTCCCCTCCAGTCTGTGTGCTCTGTAAACCCTCTTTTACTTCTGTCTCTGCACTTATTTTTTCTAGTGGCGCATTATGCATCAAATTCGCTTCCATCTCGATTCTCTGCACACCGTGTTGATTTATCTCGTGTACTCCTAAATGTCACTGTTTTTACCTAAACCCAAGCTCAAAACTAACCGTACACAAAATGAAAAATTCATCCTTTTTCAGTCCACTTGCTCTTTTGAGTATTTCAGTCGTGCTGAATATGTCATTTTGATTGAAGCTCTGATATGGATGTTGTCCTTCTCCTCCTTCCCCGTTGTCCTCCACAAACAAGATCTTGCAGCAGTTTGAAATATGTTAAGCTTGTTTGCTTTTTTCTCAATTTCCTGCCAGACATCTTTCAAAAACCCGACCTTTTCTTCCGTGCATGTGTATATATGCTTGATGTAGGCACTTGCACTTGAAATTCAAGAGAGTTTGCACATGCAAAATCGGGACATGCAAAAGCAAGCCAACTAGCAGTCTCTTGTGGATAATTTGTCTTGCCGTATTTGTCTCTGCTGTTTATGTTTTGAAGTGAGAGTGTCACCGTTGTGTGTCTTGAAAAGGGGAGCTCCAGCCAGTTCTGGGTTGTTACTGATAATGTGGTCTGCCACAACATGGATAAACTTGGATTTTCTTCTCTTTTTGTGAAGACCAGTTTCACTGACCTCTGAGGAAGTTGCCACACTTGCTGTGGGTACAGTTTGATTCCAGGCTCTGCAATGCGATTGGTCTGTGTGCTGGTTTTGGCTGGGACAGAGTGAGTTTTCTTCACGGTCGCTGGTATGGGGCTGTGTTTCGGGTTTGTGCTGGAAGCTGCGTTGATAACACAGTTGTTGCTGGGCAGTGCTTGCACAGGGTCAAGGCCTTTGCTGCTTCTGCACAGAGCATGGCCCAGGCTGCCCAGAGAGGTGTGGGATCACCTTCTCTGCAGGCATCCAAACCCCTGGACGTGTTCCTGGGTGATCTCTGGGTGACCCTGCTCTGGCAGAGGTTGGACTGGAGGATCTCCAGAGGGCCCTTCCCACTCCACCACGCTGTGATGCTCTGATTCTCCCACCAGTGAACAGGCTGGGGGTGCACAAGGAGCTGGGGGAGGCACAGCTGGGCCAGCTGACCCCAACTGACCACAGGGATATTCGCTGCAGAGCAGGATGGTGGGGATGGGTGGTTGAGAGCTGTGGCTGTGGGGGACACAAGTCCTCAAGTAGCTGGGCCATTTTGAGTTAGTGTCGTCTGTTCTTTAAATCTGACAGGATTTAAATGGTCCCAGTAACAGACCACCACATGGTCTGTGAAATAACGGCCCACAACGTCACTGTGTGGGTTTTATTTCTGAAAATGGAATAATGGACTGCCATTAGGTATTGTAGAAGACTTTTTCAGCGCTGGTTTATTGGACGTTCCTGTGATCAAGATCCAGACAGGGTAACTCACTGTCAGCCAGACATGGTGTCCCTCTCTGGTTCCTCTTTGTGCTGCTCTGTGACAGCTGTGTTTCACCTTGGAGTTGGCTGTGTCCCACCGAGGAGTCAGCGCTTGTTTTACTTTCATTTCCTTGTGTTCTTTACAATGCACTTTGGGGCCTTTGGCATGGAAACGTGCTATTATAACCTCTCTTAATTTCTCGAGAGCTGCAGAATGAGCCACAGTCTTAACAAAATATTCTTGATTATATGTGGTGGTTGTGGTGGTAACACGAGAGTGCTCCAAAGTTCCTGTTTCCAGTGAAACACAGAAATAATGACTTTTCTCAGATGAATGGTTTTGGAAAGGAAAGTGGATGGAAAGGGATGCTCTGTGCTAGACTCCAGGCAGCTGTTTGCAAGGATTCAAAGTACTTCAAATCCTGTAGCAGTGG